GGTTTTGGTAGTGGCCCTACTATATCCACTGCTACACGGCTGAATGGTTCCTCAATGCTAGGTAGGGGACACAGTTTTGCCTTGTGGCGGTCCCCCCTCTTGCGTACCCTCTGGCACACATCACAGGAGGTACAATATTGTCTCACATCTTTAGAAATCCCGGGCCAAAAGAAAGTGTGCGTTAAGCGATACCGGGTCCGGGTCATCCATAGATGGCCGGACAGAGGGATATCATGGGCGATTCTTAGTAACTCCTGCCTATACTTCTGGGGCACTACTAGCTGCTTGGTTTGGAGCATCACAGAGTTTCCTATTGCCCTTTCCGCCACCCGGTATAGTAACTTCTTCTCCCACCTGTACTGTTCTCCCTCCCGCCCCACCTGGTCCATCTCTACCCTATCTCGATATACCTGCAGTGTGGGGTCTGTCTGCACCTCTACTTCAAACGTGGACGGGGTGTCCCAAGTCATGTCTGTCAAGGGGGGGGGTCATGATTCCTTACCTGAGCCTCAGAGTGTGCGGGGAATGCCGTGGTGCGAGCCTGTTGCCGGGTGGTTACCGGATGCGCCTCTTGTGACGGGGCCTGGGGTAGAAAAGCAGAAGTCATCTGGCCCAAGTCATTCCCCAAAACAACATCGGCCAGTAGCTTTTTCATTATGGCCACTTCCACAACCCCCTCCCCAGCACCCCAATTCAAATGCACCTTGGCCGTGGGTAACCGGTACATGGCTCCGCCTGCTACCCGGACTGCCACTGATCCGCCAGTGTGGGCCGTATCTGGAATTAAATGGGGGACCACTAAGGTCAAGGTGGCTCCCGAGTCCCGCAGCCCCTGCACTTCTTTCCCTCCCACAAACACAACTTGGCGGTGATGCTGCCGGTTGTCCGTGGTTTGCACAGACATCACCTCGTACAGAACCCCCAATGGTTCCTCGGTTGGTATACTTGTCAGCTCCGAATGGTCAGGTTCTGTGTGGTAGTAATGGGCCGCCGCCCTGGGAACGGAATTCTGCCGTACCTGGTTCCACGCCTGCCTGCTACGATTCTGGGTGCACTCCCGGGACATATGCCCCCACTGCCGGCAGGTATGGCATTGTATGTTGGCCCTGCCATTGTAGCGGGCTGGCGGTGGGGGGTTTCCTGGTGGTGGCCTGAATGGGGTAGGGTTGACGGGTGTGGAGCTGGCTGGGTGGTGTTGTATTGGCGGTCTTAGGGGACCCCTGTTTGTGAGCCCATGGTGTCTCCGGGCATCAAAGTGTTCGTCTGCCAATCGGGCGGCTGCTGTGAGGTTGAGAGGTTTTCGGTCCCTTACCCACTCCTGTGCCTCTGGTGACAGACCGTTGAAGAATTGCTCCAGCAAGATGAGTTGGCGCAGTTCCTCCATGGTGGTGGCTTGACTTGCCTGAATCCACCCTTGTGAAGCTTGGTCCAGCTTATGCGCCCATTCTGCATGGGAATCTCTTTCGGGCTTTTTCAATCCCCGAAATTTCCGTCGGTATGCCTCTGGGGTTATGGCATATCTTTCTAGGATTGCTCTTTTTACTTTAAAGTAGTCTTTGCTGTCCTCTCTGGGCACAGCGCGGTAAGCCTCTGCTGCTCGTCCCGCCAACTTGCCTGCCAGTAAGGGTACCCACATTGCCGGTTCCAGATCGTGCAGGTCGCATAGCCTCTCGAAATCCTGCAGATATCCGTCTATCTCATCCTTCTCCTCGCAGAATGCTTTAAATGCCTGGTACGGTATTTTCTGCTTTGTTGGAGGGCAGAATGAGTTGACGATGGATTCTGCCCTGGATGGTGACCTCTGGGGTTGCTGTGCCATAATGTAGTCCTGGACGTCGGCCATTAGCACGGTTAAGATGTCCAGGGTTACTGGCTGTGGTACAAATTCCAGCCGGGTTCTCAGTTCCCTCTGGTATGGTGTTTCCTCTCTGGCAGGTGGGGGTGGACTGCTGTGTGCTTGGTCGCCCTCCATTAGCTCTGCAATCAGTACTGCCTTCGATTTGTTGCTAGCGCTTTTCCCTCTAGCCTCCAGCAGCTCCTTTAGCGTCTGTCTCTTTAACGCCGTGTAATCAGTCCCCATTCACTGATCGCTTTCGTCTGCTTGTTTCATACGAATTGCCTTTCCGTTCGGTTGTTCCTTTCATTCGAATGCGCTGTATTCGGCTGTAGAGTTGGATCCTGTCGCTTGCCACCAATTGTAGCGGAACGCCAATATTAAATCCACGAATTCCGCTGGTCCAGAAACGAATCCACAGTCCAGCGCTGAAACCAACAAGGCAATATCCCCAACCTCCCAATAACCGGACGAGACACAGTTTTGGGAGTCAACTGAAATCCTTTTAATTGGCAAGACAATTTATACAAGTCCCCATGCAAGGGGTTTCCTGAGTCCCTCCCCAGGGGCACTCCCAGAGGGGACTACATGGGGGACTTACAGTATAACATATTTCTCCCATCAGGCACCGCTGCACGAGAGGGATCATCCTCCCAGAATGCACCGTTAAGGGGATTATCCCCTCGTGCAGCAGAACCGGCAATTCATACAAAAATACATAACTTTTAAAATACACAGTAGATTTACACGAATGGACGTTCGGTAGATAGCTGGGGTCTGGGCGCATCATTCGTGAGATTGCCGCTCAGATCCCAGCTAAAATAACCGAACGCCGCACAGAAAACACATTTCTTTCAAAACACACGAAAAGAACCGATTACTTTTAGTGAACCTGGTCCTGAAACTCCCGAACGTCCTGGAGGCTCAGCGGTGTTCGTGCCGTCGAATAGCTATTGGTAATACTATGCGTTCGACAACACGGACCCGCTGAGGAACAAAGGATCCAAGATGGCCGACCGCCGCATGGTCGGTAGTCGAACGACGGCCACCCAGGAGAGCCTCTAATTACCGATTGCAACATTGTTGCAATCGGTTAACTAGCGCCACACGCCTCTAAGTGTGTGGGCTATTAGGGGGTATCGCGTTCGTTTCACGAACGGCCCTCCAAAGTGCCGTTCGTGAAACGAACGGGACTCCCCATACAAACCGCCATTGGCATTCGGCGAAACAGGTAATTACAGTCTCTACAGAAATACATCAAGCACATACATGAGAATAAAACGCATATCTCTCCAGACCTGTAGGCAATCCTTAAAGGCACAGTCTCTAGTTATTGTCCAAGTGGCTAGGTTTGCCACAGAATTATTGCAGCCATCTCATTGATTCGTGTCATTTTTCATGTTTACTTATATCTCATTGTATTATAAACCAATAATGTGTCGAGTTTAACGCCACAATTTCATATTAAGCGTTTACTACCATGTTTCCGCTATGTAGAACAAACGCAGCTCTCTTGTTGATTGTTGTCATTGCTAATATGATGCCATGTATACTGCTGTACTACCACTACATAAACCAGATGTGCTATACTACATAGCTAGGTCTTAGGTGCTGGCGTTTCCCTGAAGGTCAGGGCAGGTGTTCCTTAAGTGCCCCTTCTTCCCGCAGTATAGGCATAAGCCTTTCCTCCTCATGCAGTTTGGTAGAACCCAATTGCATTGGTTCTGGCGGAGGGTTAGGAGGTAGTCAAGGCGGGTAAAGTGGAGGTATATGGTAGGTATCTCGCTGGAGATGCCTTTCTGTAATGCGATTGTCAATAACAATGTAGTAATCGATGAGATCGTCCAACAGAACGAGTATCTCTCTGGAGGCTCTCTCATCCAAAAGGTAACTGGCTAAACCTTCCTGAAATGCGGTTACCAGGGCATCATTGTTCCATACCACCTTTGCCATTAGAGTATGGAACTCAGTAGTGTAATCCACCACAGACCTGGACCCCTGTTTAATCCTTAAAGGACCACTATAGGCACCCAGACCACTTCAGCTCAATGAAGTGGTCTGGGTTCCAGGTCCATCTAGGGTTATCCCTGCACCTGTAAACATAGCCGTTTCAAAGAAACTGCTATGTTTACAATAGGGTTAATCCAGCCTCTAGTGGCTGTCTCGCTGTGTGATTTTCACAGTGAGAAGATGCTGCCGTCCATAGTAAAGCATTGAGAAAATGGACTGATTGAATGCGTGCAGGGCTCTTGCTGCGCATGTGCATTTGGCGGATGACGTCGGAAGAGGGATCACTTGAATAAATACTTTTTATACACAAAAGTACCTTACTAGCTTTTGTAACAACACAACGGCATTGCATACTGTTTTGTTACCGAGTTTGTGATCTATTATTGTTCCCAAGTCCTTTTCATTTAATGATACTCCTTACTCAACTCTGTTTAATGTATAAGTGGCTTATGAGTTCCTTATTTAAAAAAAGACATGATTTTACATTTGATATATTGCACAAGAGGTGTGGCAATAGAAATCCAGGAGCTAATAAATATTAAGAGATTAGTATTGCAGGATACCAGATATTTTAGAATATATGTAAAAAATATATGAAGAATATGAATGTGTATATATATATACACAAACTATGTATGTGTGGCAAAATTGCCTTATGACCCAGGTAACAGGACCCTGGAAAAGGGTAATATATGCCAAATTATATACTTTCACTCACTCTCTGATGAAAGCTAAAAAAGGTTTGAAATATAAACTGTCACAATATAATAGAAAAGTGTCTATAATTGGGCAAAGAGCCAGTACATAGAGCTGGCTGCCCTAAGCAATGAATAGAATGTATAGCCAAAATTTATTAAAATGTAACAAAAATGTATTTGAAACATAAAAATATATTAAAAATAAGTCCACACACAGAGCAATAGAAGTTAGGAAGGTAAAGTATGCACAGAAACCTTAAGCACCGGCACGGATGGATTCGGATTGTGATCTTGATACAGTAGCTGACATCTGGTGACCGGTGAGGTCGGTCTGCGTTCCATAGTGCGTTCCCCCTCGAGCCTCACTTCAGGGGAGCTGCACTGCTAATCAGATGTTGCGATTCAAACGCCAGTGTTCCAAGCAAATCGCCGGGCTGCTGCGCTGATACCTCCTTTCTCTCGTCGTTGTGTGAACAATCTGTAGACTCAGACTTGTCTGACGCGTTTCGTAGGGAATAGCCCTACTTCCTCAGAGACATCTGCATTCACTACCCTATGGGGGTGTTTATATATCGCTCTCTCTGTCCCCAATTGGTTAATTGAAGGATGAATACATTATGATTCATTCAATACATTGCTTTAACTATAATACACACGTTGCACAAATAAAGTTTAAAATATATACATACACATATAAATAAATGTTTTATACAATGAACATATAAAAACTAGTGATGTCGCGAACCCGAAATTTTCGGTTCGCGAACGGCGAACGCGAACTTCCGCAAATGTTCGCGAACCGGCGAACCGCCCGAAACGCCATTGACTTCAATGGGCAGGCGAATTTTAAAACACACAGGGACTCTTTCTGGCCACAATAGTGATGGAAAAGTTGTTTCAAGGGGACTAACACCTGGACTGTGGCATGCCGGAGGGGGATCCATGGCAAAACTCCCATGGAAAATTACACAGTTGATACAGAGTCTGGTTTTAATCCATAAAGGGCAGAAATCACCTAACATTCCTAAATCACAATGAATATGGATTGACATATTGACACCTTGACATATGGATTGACACCTGTCCTCAGAGCCCCTGATACACACTGACACAGAGCAGAATAGGGACTGTTACCCCTACATAGGGTCACTTGGCAGATATGGATTGACACCTTGTTACAAACTGCTATTTGTAACGGGCCCTTTAAATAGCAAATTGCCCTGCTTCCCTGGGTTGTGGAGAAGCCTATTTGCCAGCCTCCTCCCGCATGACTATGGCCCCTGGGAGATTGTGAAAATGTATGCACTTTTATTTGGTGTGTATGGCCCTTTAAGACTGTCGGTGGGCATATTGGGGCTTATGGACTCTTTATGTGACTGGTGCTGGCCCTTTAAACACCTTTTTTGGGACATCAGGAAGATTGGGACACTGCCCCTTTAAGGCCGTGTCCCCAGACTTGTTGGGGACACTGCCCCTTTAAGACGGTGTCCCCTGTGTCCCCAGACCTGGTGCAAACCCTTTGTGCCTGCCTGGCTAATTCCCACTTGGTTCAGTAAATGGGGCTTACTGAACCAAGTACCACACAGGCAGACCACCCAGAAGTGGAAGTGTGCAGGCAATTTACCTCCCAGAAGCTGCGGTTAACCGCAGCTTAATTGACAATGCTGGGAGGTCTTTGTTCGTTGCGAACACGTGGCGGCGGCCATCTTTGATCATTCGACGAGGTCAGCGGTATGTGTAGCCAAATTCATGGAACTAAAATCGGCTACACATTTCCGCGAACACCGCTGAGCTCTACCTTCTCCCCTACTGGTTTTACAGCTGCAGAGACTAAGTCCCATTCGCGATGGGACTTAGTCGTTTTTTCAGCCTGAAATAGACCGACCTCACAGCCCAAATCTATGGAACTGTTTTGGGCAGGAAAATGTGCTTGCAGTCGGTCATAAAGGGACCTCCAGCTAACTTTTTAACCCCTGGATGGATTTGGCTGATTTTTGGTTATGTTTATGTTTTAAGTGTGCTGATTCCAAATATGTAATTATGAAGATGGGATGTGTAGTTTTAAAGTTAGTGTATGGCTAAAAACTGTATTTTTACTGCCTGTGTTTAATTATGTTAATCTCTTCCCAAACGTAATTTCGTTCAAAGTGGAGAGAATGTTAAAAAAATATATTTTTGTTTAGAGTGTGAGAAATGCTTTTCAGCCGCTTCTAATCTTAAGCATCATTTGAGGAGCCATACAGGAGAGAAACCTTATTTGTAGTGTGTTTAGTATTGTTCTGATCAGTTTAATACCTTCCGCGTCTCCTATCAGTGGACGTGTACACGGCATTGATTTTTATCTAAGCCGTAAACCTTTGCACAGCGAAGTATATTCACTGCCATTGAAAAGGAGTGCATGGCGTGGTGTGGGCCCTCAAAAAGCTGCAACCTACTTGTATGGACAACCGTTTACCTTACTCACAGATCACATTAAATTTGGGGCACTGCGCGGTCAAGCTAATGTGACACCAGATAGTAGTGGTGTGTTTAGTACTATTTTTATCAGTTTAATACCTTCAGCGTCTCCTATCAGTGGACGTGTACACGGCATTGATTTTTGTAACAGGGAGATGGAAGAAGAGGCTTGGTCGGTCCTCTTACTGCAAATTTGGGGCACTGCGCGGTCAAGCTAATGTGACACCAGATAGGAGTGGTGTGTTTAGTATTGTTCTGATCAGTTTAATACCTTCCGCGTCTCCTATCGGTGGTCGTGTACACGGCATTGATTTTTGTAACAGGGAGATGGAAGAAGAGGCTTGGTCGGTCCTCCTAACTGGAGACTGTGTTGCTGTACGGGTGGCAGGTGGAGCCATTTATAAAGTACACACTGCTTTATAAAGCCATTTATAAAGTACACACTGGTGGCTTGAACCCTAGTTGGTGGCGGATAAGTCACGCAAGTCAACAGGCATTCAGAGCTAAAATACAGCAGCGTGTGGACCATTTTTAGCCCAAGGCGGCTCATCTCATCAGGCCTTTTTTACATAGGGTCACTTGGCAGATATGGATTGACACCTGTCCTAGGGATCCCTGATACACACTGACACAGATCAGAATAGGGACTGTTCCCCTACATGAGGTCACTTTTTAGATATGGATTGGCTACAAATGCTGCATCCTTTCCTTACTTTTGTTGCCAATTATTGGCACATTTCCGCCACTTTCTGCTTATACGGGGGTCTAGTAAGCGTGGACACCCAGTACAGTCGTTCTCCTTCAGCCTTTTTTGCTCTGAGACCCTCAACGAGCACGACAGCATAGAAAGACCCCATTTGCACAAGGTTGGATGCCGAGCTACTCATTTCCGTTCCTCCTCCTCAGTGATCTCAATGAAGGTATGTTCTTCCCCCCAGCCACGTACAACACCACGGGTACCAGATAGGTGACAACGAGCACCCTGGGATGCCTGTTGTGGTTGGTCTTCCTCCTCCTCCTCAAAGCCACATTCCTCCTCTGGCTCCTCTTCCTCACAATCCTCTTCCAGCGTTGCCGCAGGTCCAGCAAGCGATGCTGATAAGGCTGTTTCTGGAGGTGATGGTGACCACAACTCTTCCTCTTCCTCTTCACGCTCATCTACGGCCTGATCCAGCACTCTTCGCAGGGCACGCTCCAGGAAGAAAACAAATGGTATGATGTCGCTGATGGTGCCTTGGTGCGACTGACTAAATTTGTCACCTCCTCAAAAGGACGCATGAGCCTACAGGCATTGCGCATGAGCGTCCAGTAACGTGGCAAAAAAATTCCCAGCTCCCCAGGGGCTGTCCTAGCACCCCGGTCATACAAATATTCATTAACGGCTTTTTCTTGTTGGAGCAGGCGGTCGAACATTAGGAGTGTTGAATTCCAACGTGTCGGGCTGTCGCAAATCAAGCGCCTCACTGGCATGTTGTTTAGCCGCTGGATATCGGCAAAGTGAGCCATGGCCGTGTAGGAACGCCTGAAATGGCCACACACACCTTCCTGGCCTGCTTCAGGATGTCCTGTAAGCCTGTGTACTTATACTGCAGCGTTGTACGATCAGATTCACATTTTTATGTGACAACTTGCCCAGCTTCGATGCCGCTAGCGCCAAATTTGTTCGTTGTGCAAGCACTTGCCGATATCCAGTCGCTGCGGAGTCGGCCACTTTTCCACCTGTGCGTTCAGGGCGGACAGGAGTGCTTGTCCGGTGTGACTCTCTGCTTTCAAGCAAGTCAAACCCAAGACGGCGTGACACTGCCGTATCGGGATGTGGAATAGTACCTGGGGAGCTGGGGGGGTGCCGTTGATGTGGAGCAAGACGCAGCAGCAGAAGAGGACTCAGCCGAGGAGGTTATGGAAGAGGATGGAGTAGGAGGAGTAGAGGAAGTGGCAGCAGGACTGCCTGCAAGTCGTGGCGGTGTCACCAACTCCTCTGCAGAGCCATGCATTCCATGCTTGGCAGCAGTCAGCAGGTTTACCCAATGCGCAGTGTAGGTGATATACCTGCCCTGACCATGCTTGCAGACCAGGTATCAGTGGTCAAATGGACCCTTGCCCCAACACTGTGTGCCAGAGATGCTATTAC